ACATTGGGGATTGAGGAATGAGCAGTTCAGTAATGCCTAAAAAATGCAAACCGGGTATTATTTGAAAGATGGGATGAGACCTTAAAATGCCGGAGGCCAAACCCATCCCAAACATAACTTCACAGTTTCTGCCAGGAACTATGAGCCCTCAAGTAAATGAGACCAGCACGTTTTCTTCCTCACACCGATAATCATACATCAGGTACCTCTTGAATCCAAACAATAAAGGAAATATTCTCTCCTGCATCAATACGGAGAGAAGTTATTCTCTTTTTCCTTGCTGTTTTATACAACTGGCCCAGATGTTGGTTTCTGATCCAAGCGAAAACAAATAGACACAAGATTCCATCAGCTGTAGGCCTAACCGCCCTTTATGCTAATTTTGTGGCTTCCAGCCAGGTTAAAAAGGGGTTTTGAAATTTAATCAGAAGCACAGGAGGGAGGATTCCCATATGTAGGGACAGCAGCAGGTGGGAAGGGGAGGTTTAACCCTTCCTTCCCTGGCCATGATCCCAAAGAATATCCTCCCCACCTTAATTACTGGAAAAAATTCCCATTAGCACCAGTGGGAGGCGTGTGCTTCTCTGTCACAGATTGCAGCATGGTGAGGTGCTAGGATATTTGTTGGGAGAGAAGGGTTAAATTTCCCCTCCCTTCATGGTGAAAACATCACGGGAAATAGCCTTCTCCCATGACATGTCTTACACTGAAAAAATCCCCCGGCAGGACTGCAAGCCACCTGCCTGACATAGCAAAGAGTTAAGTCCCGACTTGAGCCTAGGTCTTGCAAACTGAATATGAGATGCTACCTTTGATTCTGCACTGTCGCCGCCCCGGTCTGTGGGTGGGGAGTCACCTGGCTGAAGGCTCCTGCACATACCAAAGCTGCCTTCAATATCCAAGGTCAGGCAGAAGGGCTCCAGCCTCACCTCTTCCCTGTCAGGTCAAGCAGGTGGGTTTTAAGGTCTGGAGGAGCATCCCCGAATGTGAGCCCCCCCCCCCTTTCCGTGAGAAGCATTACAGCCCCACAGCCAAGCTGACTTCTTCATCTCCTGCTTGGGACAAGCAGGAGATGCTGCTGAGGTTGTGCTGAAGGTCGCTGCCGCTTTCAGACCTACACTCAACACAGAGCCTACATTGCTATAAACTTGCTGAGGCCAATTTCCTGTGTTTCCAAAGAATTTTGCTTGGGGGGGGGGAGCATTCTGAAAAGGGGAGGGAATTACTCATCTGCTCCAGAATAGAATTCTGCAGAGCTAGAAGGAGCCAGGGAAATCTCCTTTGCTTTGCTTTCTATATTAAAAATCTTATTTTTCTTATTATTGTTCCCTTGGCAGCCATGAGACTACATAAGACTCTTTCTGATTGCTGGTAGTCAAAAAGGGAGTCTTTTCTCCTCCCTCTCTGTGCAGAATTGCTTGACAACCCGGTAACTAATATCACATTTTGTCATACATTGCAATCCATCGCTACATTGCTGCCGTGCAGCAATCGGGGGATTGTGCTGTTCCCTTTTCAACACTGGTGGAAAAGTTCCAGCTCTCATTTGCAAGAAGACAAGGGGTCTCATCCACGGAGCCACATCCTGCTCTAATGTCTACCATGTGAGGGTCCTGTCATTCTCCTCCACAGTGCAGAGAGTGGAAACAGCCCAGTTCAGTCTGTTCCAATCTGGTATCATGGGAAGGGCTGGGTGGAGGAGGAACAGGGCCAGAGAGGGTTATGTCTTAGCTTTGGGCGGATTCACATATGCATTTGCCACACCAAACTCTGGAGCTCTTTCTAGGAATTTTATCCACATACAAAAGGGCTGGTGCTAGCAACAGTCACACCACTAAAACAGCAATTATATAGCTGCTTTCCATTTACCACCCCTCAACTCTTCTTTTAGTTTTGCGTATGAAGCTTGTCTTAGGTTTATATCCTGCCTCTCTCCCACAGAGCTGATGGCAGCTCCTCTTCTTCACCCTTTTATCCTCACAACAACCTTATGAGTGAGTGAGACTAAGAGTTAGCAGCTGGCCCAAAACCACTCAGTAAGCTTTTGGTTACGTGGCAGTGGGAATCCATGTCTCCCAAGCCCAACTGCAACACCCTAACCACCACACCACACTGGCTCTCTCTGGGGACGCCTCAGAGCTTTTTATGGCTTGCTCTCACCCAGTCAAACCCACGTCTATGCCTGAGCTGCGGCGTGGATGTGGTGGCTTGACCTAGTATATGCTCACATCTGGCCAGGCGTGGTGTGTTCAGCATCCTTGTTGTGACCTGCTACATTTGTCTTCTTCTCTTCCTTTATGAGTCAGTAGCTGCATCGTTAGGTTTGGGTGAATGTGGGGGTGCTAATTTTTGGCCCTACACCCAGGACAAAAAGGCATATCTCTGAATTTGCCCAGTGATAGCCGACCCTAAAAAAGGAAGTGTTTCTATGTGCAACCAAACCCTGAAAATCAGAAATGGTGAAAAGAGAAAGGTGGCAGATGGAGTATTTCATGTTGGGGATTGGCTGGAACCTCTGCCATGTCATGCCATATCCAGGTCACTGGATACACACAAATGTTTCTCACAAGCAGCATTGGGATCAGTACCATAGATTGGAATGTCCCAGGGAAGCAAAGTTCAAGAGAGATGACAAGGGATTCTTGAGAATTTCTCCTGTTTGTCCAAAGCCAGTCAGGTAGAGAGAAAGCACATGTTGCTCACTTGCATATGATGACAGCTGGTGAGGGATGAAAGCTGTGCCCTTATTGGGCAAGAAGCCATAGCATGTAACCAGTCACACGGGATGGTCTCCTGGTCAGCATCCTCTGCAAAGAGGATATGGAGTAAAGGAAGCACAAAGGGAAGAACTAAGAAACAGGTCCAGTCTGCTTGTGTTTTATTCAAGAGGGCTGCCTTTAGGTTTTCCTGCTAGGAAAACGAGGGGGGAGTGGCTGCTTTTCTGCCCCCATAACTGTTTTACTTTTTTAAAAAAATAGAAACATCAGCAGATTGTGATGGATCCCACCAGTATTAAACAAAACAAGGAACCGCAGGGAAGTGAGTCACAAATCCTTCTAATTAGGGATACATCACAGAAATGTTTCTTTAAGGATGGAAGTCATGCAGCCACATAGACTTGTTTACATCAACTGTAAATAAATGTTCTCATGAAAAATTACTCTGGAGGAACAAATCCCGCTCCACACACAAGACACGTGAGAGTTAATGATTTCCAAAGAAAAGGAACTCTGCATGCATTGCTGGGGAAGATTGCAACTGTTCTCAGGTTTCCTAAGCACTCTGCAACTGCAGACTTTAGAAAAGGGATTGCTGGCATGACCTGCTCTTCTGGAAAATTCAGAAAGAAAGCTCACTTTTGGCACTATTTAATAAATAGGAATATCACAAGAGCCTTGCTGGATCAGACCAAAGCTTTATCTAGCCTTGCCTTCTTTTTCTAACCCTTCCACTGGGGGGCAGGGGAGAATCCTGCAGTAACCAGTAAGCAAAGATACACTATCCCTGGCCTTGGAAGATTCATTTAGCTGCCAGGGCTAATGTCAGTGGCCATTACATCTTACAGCAGTGAATCCATGAGGTCATTTTGCACTGTGTAAAAAGACATTGCCTTCATCTCACCTGAGCTTTCTGCCTACAGATTTCACAGGGTCACCCTAGAAGGACTAGTATTATGAAAACCAGAAAAATCTCTCACCATCTCTGTCACCCTGAATGATCTCCCCTCCCTGCCCCCAAGCCAAAACTTCTCCAGCTGCCTTTGCAGACACATCCAGCGAATGCTCGGGGCTGCTACAGATGATTGCTGCTCTTGATCATAAAATGAGAGTCTGCTGCATTTGGGTAGTTGGCAGCCAAGATCCAGTAGGCGGAGGAAGGAAGCGAGAGAAGCAGAATGAAAGGAGACAAGCCATGGCTCCTCCCTGCCCATGGAGGTACCCACTGGCGAATTGCAGCTTCTTGCTGAAAATGTCTTTCCTCTGACCCACTTACTGGCCTCTCCAGGGGGGAAAAAAACCTGTGCCAATGGGTGTTTTTGCTTTCCCCGGCTTACTGTTCCAAAGGAATTTCACGTATGCCAAGCACACACGAGGTCCTCTCTCCAAGCTACCACTGAGGTCTGGGAGTGGCTAAGTGCACTGAAGGTCCAAAATTTAGTCCCTGGCCACTGCATTAAAAACAACAACGAACTCCTCAGCCGGCAGGGAAAGACCCTACAGAGTCACTAGCAGCTTTGTAGGTGCCCTGCATTTCTCTAGCAAATCAGCGCCCCCTACCCCACCCCGCATCCCCGCAATGGGTTAGCTTTGGCCAAGCATATCCGCGAGGGCTTTGCTGACGTGCCCTTGCCGGCAGGTGCAGCCCAATCCGATTTGGTGCGTTTAGTTTGGAAGAACTCCCTGCGAAGTGCAACGGGCCTTGCTCCTAAGTCATCCCCCGTTTGATGTCGCGCTCGTAAAGTTGCTGAGATTAAAACGAGATGAGCCAAATCCACATACGAACATCTCCCAAGGGCTCTTATGATTAGTTTAAATCTAATTATTACAGCGCCTCCTACTTGCCAATTAGGCAAATCGGCCCGCCTCGCTGCTTGGTCCGACCTCCACGGGGGTTCTTGAGTTGCAAAAGCGGCGGGGGGGGGGGGGCCGCATGCATTGACCCGTGACTCGCCGGGTGGAAACGCCATCCTTTTGCGCGCCGCTCCTGCGCTCCTCGGGAAGGAGAAGAGCTCGGCGCGCTTGCGCGTTCCAGGCAGCTTCCTGGGAAGGCGGCCTCGTGGGGAGACTCGCAGCCCCCCTGCCTCCCCGCCCCGAGCGGGGGCAGAAAGGGGTGAGGAGGGGAAGGGAGGCAGCGGGGCGCAGGGGGCGCGTCGCGGAGCGCCCCCTCGGCCTCGCCCAAAGGCAAGGAGAGACACCTCGAGCAAGTGAGCGCCGCGGCTGCCGGGCTTCCCCTCGCGGTCCCCTCCTTGCGCCCGCGCCGTCGTGCCCCGATCCACCCACCTGCTTCGTGAAGAGGATCGCCGTGTCCCAGTATTCGGGGTGCTTGTCGTTGCCCTTGTTCCACTTCTTCTGCCAGACGCAGAAGTTCCGCAGGGTGAGCGCGGCATTGCCCGTGACCTTGGGCCCTTTGTCGTCCTGCCTGATGACCATAAATTTGACCACGGCGAGGTTGATGGGGTTCTGGATGCTGGCGTGTCGGTAGAGGCGGGCCGCTGTGGCCATCAGGGTGAGCAGGTAGTGCTGCAGGTCGTCGCCGTGGAACTTGGCCATGGACTCGTCGGCCACCACCAGCGTCTCCACGTAGCGGGGGATGGAGACGAAGCGCTTGGAGCGGCCGCTTTTCCTGGCCAGCAGGAGCCGCCGGGCTGTCTCGTTGGCTCGCCCAGCCGCCCAGCCGCCGGCCTGCGAGAACTTGTACTTCTCCAGGGCTTGCACGATGGCCGGGTTCAAGCCGGAGCCCACGCCGCACCGCGAGGTGGCGAAGGCGGGGTGGCCCGGGGCGCTGCGGCGCTGCAGCAGGTGCTCGCCCTGGTTGCTCCACAGCGCCCGGTTGCCGCTGTCATTCCGGAACGGGCTGATGAGGTACTCGGCCCCCCGGTAGCCGAAGGCCCCCGTCAGCCCTCCGCACACGCTCACGGCGGCGAAGGAGTCGCGATCCGAGTTGACGTCCCCGGAGTAGAAGCAGTGGCGCAGGTCGCGCGCTTCGCCTCGGGCGGCCGTGCCGGCGCCCAGGTACTGCGTGGCGAAGGAGGGCGCCAGGAACTGCGAGTCCGGCGCCAGGTTCAAGTAGAAATCCTCGTGGAAGGCGGTGATCTGGAAGATCGCGCCTTGCCGCGGGGGGTCCTCCGCGCCCCGCTGGAAGTACTGGCGCCCGTTGAGGTACGGGTCCAGGCGGATGGGGGTGACGATATCCGTCTCCATCGGCGCGCAGAGGGAAGGCAGGACGGCCAGGCAGAGCAGGAAGGAGCCCCGCACAGGCGGCATGGCTCGGGAGGAGGGAGGGGGGAGGGGGCCGAGAAACGCTCGTCGGGCCTGCAATGTCAATTGCACATCCGCCACGCGAGGGAACGGGACCGCGGCGCGCCGGGCACGAAGCAGCTCTCCAGACCGGCGCGCCTGTCACCTGGCCGCGTCTGCAGCTCCGGCTGCCGCTCCTGGGCTCGCTCAAAAAGGCATCTCGGCCGTGGCTTCCCCCCCTTACAGTACCTGCCTTTTCAAAAAGGCATCGGACTTGTTAGGGCTTTATATACATTGCTGTCATGTGCCAATTTTTTTTTTTAATAGAGCCAGGCGTTTGTAACTAGTTTCTTTTCCTTTTCTTTTCTTTCCAAGGGGAGGTGCTGAAGAGTCTTATTGGACCTGCCCTTAGCCACTTGCAGCTCTCTTGAGTTACTACTAGAAGCTCTGCGCGACGCGTTCCGCTTGCGTTTTAAAGAGGCAGCTCAATTTGTTTGCAAACCCTCCCAAATTTAGCTGACTTGTGCAACGGCCTCTTCCTCTGAACAGATGAGATGCGGAGAGATCATCCGCAGCGCTGCCGCGTCCGCTATGCCTTTTCCAGCCTCTTCTGTAGATAACTTTGTCCTTACGCCCAATTTTAGAGCAGTTTCTCTCTCCCCCCGCCCATCCCCCCACCTCCATCTTTCCCTAAATTAAAGTTCCTCCGTTTCTCTGACTCTGCTGTTTTTCACAGGACTGTGTTGTGTTTGTGGTCCAGATCTTTTGAGTTTTCCTGAACCCAGGAAAGTGCTGACAAGACAAAAACCGCTACAAGTTTGTGGGTGGGCAGGCTGCTTGTTCATTTGAACTGGGCCAAAAGATGCGTGAGGCTGCCCCGCATCTCTTTCCTTTTCATTAGGGTCGGCATCCTCATTTCTGACTTGCAAAGCCCCCCGTGTGCCCTTCTGAGCGCTGCCTGTTACCGGTCACTTGCAATTAAACTAATAACTGTTCGGTTGTCCTTCCTCATTAACTCGCTGCTCATTCCTCCCTCGTTTACTTGCATGCCAGCGCACATTCACACATTACAGCAGTTTAGAGCCGTGTGGGTTGGAATCACCATTCAGCCCAGTAAGCTCACTGAGCACCGCTTTGCACAGCCAGGAAAGTCATGCAACTCCCAGCCTTGCCCACCTCACAGGGTTGCCATGAAGTTATTAAACATGATAACCCTATATCATGGTACTATCCCTTCTCTCAAGAGGGCATCATGAGTAGGGAGACTGCTGGCAGCAGGCTGGGTGATATACCAGCAGGATCCTCAGTCTGTCTTCAGAACCCAATGCACAGCACAAACACTCAAGACCAGGAGACAAGAAGCCTGGAGAGCAATAATGATTTCTTATAAGCAAAGGCCACTCCCCTCCCTGGCTCTCTGGGTGATTTTGGTGCTGTATCGAGTACCCAGTGGGAGACAGCTGGGATTGCATCTGAGTGGACGTGTGCAAGACTGAGCTTTTCCATGCATGACACCACACAGCACTTATGAGCTCCTGGCACATTATCCATCTCAGATGAAGATCAGCTCTCCCCAGCCTAATAGCCTCCTCAACTTCTGGACTACAGCTCCCATTATCCCAGTCCACTGGCCATGCTGGCTATACCTTTTGGGACTTACACTCTCAGATACCTGAAGGCCACCAGATTGGAAAAATGTTGCTGTATAAGCTGTTTTCATGCGGTTAGTAGAGCAAGAGAACTGTTTTTAAAACAAAGGAACCTTCTAGCTTTGTTTGCAGTACAGCTGCATATAAAGGGCCTCTCAAAATTCTCCACCCTACTTGTGTGCAGAGAAATTGGAGACAATTTCAATGAACTTCCCTGGGGAGTTCTCAAGTAATTTCTTGGAGATGGAACTCAGCTTTAGCTGTGGTTGCAGCACAGCTCCCCTCTTTTCTCTCGGAGGTTTTGTGCTGTCTGGGGCCAGACCTCCCAGGAGCTCTGGGGCATCCCCACCAGCACCTCCGGCCGTGAGGCAAGAGGAATGGTGAAAGGCACACACACCCTAGCAGGGGGACAGGTCACCGTTGTGTGGCCACCCATGATCCCACCTCGCCCCATTTCTTGCCACTGCTGCTCCCACACTTGGTGTCTTCTCGGAATGAAAGGAAGAGGGACTAGTGGTCTCTGAAGAGACCAGTGGCCAGAAAGCTAGCCCAAGAGCGGCAGTGGCTGGGAGGTGTGATGCATGTTGCCGTGCCGAGTGAGCGAGCGAGCGGGCTGGGCTGGAGGAGGACCAGAGAACCAGTCAGAGAGCAGGCAGGTGACGGACACGACGCTTGTGGTGGGGGAATGGAGGGAGCTGGGCACAGGGTGCAGGTGGAGGGGGAGGAGATGGACCCAGGATAGGGGAGGCAGAGGTGGGGAAGAGATGTATATGGGGAGGGAGCTGGACAGCGGTGAGGGAAGAAGGCAATGGACATGATGGAAAGAAAAGATACGGACATAACGGGCTGGCGGGAGATGGGCATGGCAGGCAGGAGGTTGGTTATAAATATTATTTAGGGTTCTTGAAAAAAATGCCATCATTTGCCAGAGGAGAAAACACTTCTTACCTGCATTCTGCACACCATTTTGTACATTCTATCATGCCCCAACTCACCTATTTTGTAAGCTAAGCTCAGCTCCAAATGTTTCCCCCTTGGAGTGTTTGAGATGGGGCAAACAGAACTGTCCAGAACGTTTCAAGTGTGGTTGGTTGGTGGCCTCAGAGATCTGTGGAAAGGTCTGCTGCTAGACATAATTTTGGCTTTGATTCCTTTCCCAGAGATCCTCAGTGTGGATACACACTCCTTTCACAACAGCCTCACATTCAAGGCGGTGGCTCACTGTGTGGCTAAATGCAATATAAAGAAAAAGAAACACTCATCTGCAGAAAAGACAATTTGAAAATCCAAGTACCCCCTCCTCCTGTCCATTGCATCTTGAGGTTGGTCATGGGCAGTACAGGCAGCACTGAAATGGAGGTTTGGCCAACACGAAGGGTCCCCTACCCTAGCTCTCGTCTCACCATCACCTCCAGGCATCAATTCCACCCCCTGTTTATTTACTTATTTAGCATATGGTTTGTCATACATGTGTTTGTGATATATATAAGCATTTGGACAAGGCTAAAAACACATTCCAAATATAAATGTGACAAAGATCTCTATTCAGACATCAATGTCTAGGCCATCTCCCCACTGAAGCACAGCACCATTTATGTGAAAACTTCCACTAGAGTGTCCATGTATCTTCTTTGACAGGGGGCAGCCTCTGCTTGAAGAGCTGCCAAAGGCAGTCCTACATTTGAGAGGCTGTGATAGCTGTTTCTGGTTTAAAGTCAAAGAAACCTAAGAGCTGTTACCCATCCGCAGTTACCATCCCAGCAGCCCCTGAACAAGCAACTCCCCTGATCACCATCTTGCACCATGTTTCATTAAAATTATAATGATTACATTTTAATAAGCCGAGGCACATTTGAGTCTTCTTTTCCGGCAATGCACTTCCTCTTTTAGGGCAGTTCATGCCAAAATTCCACACACTGAGTGCAAGTTGAGAGCCGTTGCCAATTCATACCAACCAGGGCTGCTGGCTGGGCACAGGCTGTCTGAACATGCCGACAGACTCAATCTCCCCTTCTTCTTAATGCACAGAGATCACACAACAGGGCTGCCGATGGGGAACCGGGGGTGTGATTCTGTTCCCCTCCACCTCTGCAGTCCATACATTTTTTTTAGTCACAAAGTCATGCCCGACCCATCACAACCTCATGGACAACATTCCTCCAGGCTCTACTGTCCTCCACCGTCCCCCAGAGTCCACTCAAGCCCACACCCACTGCCCCAGTGACTCCTTTTAGCCACCTCATCCTCTGCCATCTCCTTCTCCTTTTGCCATCAATCATTCCCAGCATCAGGGTCTTCTCCAGTGAGTCCTTCCTTCTCATTAAGTGGTCAAATTATTTGAGTTTCATCTTCAGTATCTGGCCTTCTAAAGTCTATCCATTAGCATGAGGGTAACAACATGGCCACCATCTCATCCCTCCCTCAGCAGCAGCCAGGTGAAATAGCCCCTGGTGGAGGCCATTTGGCAAGGAACCCAATGGGAGCTGTTTCTGCTAGAGCAGATGACTTGGGAGGTCTCTCTGCCTTTCCTCTCCCTCAGGTATCACTAGCAGCTGCCAGAGGCAACTGTAGAACTGATTACAGTTCCATGCCCTAATTCAGCAAATATTTTTCAAGAATTCCACAGACCAGAAAAACTGTCCATGAATTTAGACAGAGGGACGGGACCCATGCATACAAAGGACCAGAATTAATGTACACATTAAGTCTCTTTGTTGGACTGTATGGGCAACTTCTTCGTGGTACACGGATCATACATCACAGGTTGCAGAACTGCATGGACCTTATCATTTGAAGTGTACTTAATATTGGCATATCTTTTGCACAAGCATGACAAAAGGCAAACATGCAATTGGCAACTATATTATTTTCCAAATTGCAGCTTTCAGACAGGAGATTCTAAGAATCCCATGGAAAATTTTGATGGGTAGGATAAGAGATCAGAGGTATAATGAACTAAGATTTATTTCTTGCTTATTTGGGATGCTTGAGAAATTTGTAGTAATAAGCTTGTATTCAAAGTTAAGCTTAGTAACTTACTTTCAACATTAAAGAAAAATGGGATATTATGAGTTCTAATACTCTTTCCCTGGGTGCTGAATGCAGATAGTGAATTAGTTCCAGATTTAGTCAGAGGTGACCTGTTGAAATCACTGTGACTTAAATGTCAAGAATCCAATGGATTTCAATGAAATAAATAAGTCAAGAATCCAATGGATTTCAATGAATCTACTATTTATCTGAAACCAGCCCAGTCCTGGATGTTGCTCATGCCTTTGAATTTTTTAAAGGGGTTACAATCTTTAGCCCTTTTAAGTGTCAAAATACACACAAGACTGCGCTTTCTAAGAGGAGGTGGAGAGACAATCAATGAAGAAG